TTAAAACCAGCCCAATGCAATGGAACACTATTTGTTTATTTAGAAAATACCATGTTTTCCCAAAAATAAGATCCTGTCTTATATTTTTTTTTGGCCACCAAGGAAGGCACCAGGTCTTATTTTTGGGAGGATGTCATTCATTGTCTAACTTCACTTGCACGCATCACCCCCGGCCTCCTTTTTGCTGTCAGAGGCCTTCAGGAACTTCTTCTTCTGTGGCCAGCAAGACTATTCTGAGGTCCTCTCTAGCCAATAACAATCTGGGATCAATCTGGGGAAGTCTTGCTGGCTGCAGAAGAAATGGGCTGGCAAGGCAGGTGTCAGGGTGGTGCAAGGCCTGGCTGCTTGTCCAAAGGTAAGTAATAGGGCAGCTCCACCACCCCCACTCTAGCACTCTGGAGTGGGTGGGGTCTTAATTAGGAATTATTTGGGGAGTAGGGCTTATATTGGGTGCACATGTAAAAATCAAGCTACGACTTACTTTCGGGGTAGGTCATATTTTCAGGGAAACAGTGTGTATATGCTACCCCTTCCTTTAATGGTTAGAGACAGCCTACCACTTGCCAAAAGAGACAGTTGTGTTAATCCTTTATTGCTTGTGTGTATCTCTCTTTGTATGTACATAAACATGCACGTCTGCAGCAGAGATGCTGATAAAATAGTTACCGTACACAACAACTTGACCTGGGTCATCATTGTTAATGTCAGAGTGCATTTCCTTCTATGGTCATCATGGTTGATAGACCTGGGACTTTTTCTCCAATGTGTCTCTTAACTCCAACCTTCTCCATTGTCTAGAATAGATTCTCTGGTGTAGAGACAAGGGCCAACCCCAGTTATGTGTCAAGAGCACCCAGAGTAATCACTATCATGTCTTTTTCAATTAATTCCCTGCACTGATCTTGTCAGAGAATGCTCAAAGGATTGCGTAAGCAGCAATGGAAAGTTAAATATTTGATGTCCCAGGACTGGATGCCTTGTCTGAACGATCTTGTTGCGCACAAAGGAGAAGAGAGAAATAAATGAGCCTTCAGCATCTACATCTCTCTTTTCCATCTGATGCATGTCACCCAAATTCACGTGTTGAGACGAGTGGCTAAAGAAATCACTAAATATTTTTCAGCAAAACCCTATGCAAACATACACGAATCTCTCTTTTTCTGACCAAGGTGAGAGCTGTTCATTTTTTTAAAACTTCCAGGATCAAACAAGGGAAATTGATTTATGTATTTTCTTCATCACTCATTGGACGGAAGGTGCTCTGTTCCACCAAAGCACCAAACATCTGTTGGTCTAGATAACTGTGAATAGTTGCAGATCAGTTCTTTTGCTGCTGAATTCCTTGCTAACATGAGCTTAATAGGTAGACAGCGAAATGTTGTTTTTTAAAGCATTGCATGGGTGTGTATTTTAGGACTGAGAAGGCCCTAATAAGATGGAAATGATTATATTCTGCTTTTTGTGTGGAGCTGTACCATGCCCTTTGAGCTAGGATAACCATTACAAAACTAATTACACCACATTACAAAAAAAAAAAAAATAAATCTTGAAACTTTGGAAAAAATGCAGAGAAGAGCAACTAAATGATTAAAGGCCCGGAGACTAAAACATAGGAAGAACTGTTGCAGGAATTGTGTATGTTTAGTCTAGAGAAAAGAAGGACCAAGGGGGACATGATAGCAGTATCCCAATATTTGACCGGCTACCACAAAGAAAAGAGGGTCAACCTATTCTCCAAATACCTGAAGGCAGGACAAGAAGCAACAGACAGAAAGTAATCAAGGAGAGATCCAACCTAGAACAAAGGAGAAATTTCCTCACAATGAGAACAATTAATCAGTAGAATGACTTGTCTCCAGAAGTTATAAATGCTCCAACACTGGAGCCTTTTAAGAAGAGATTGGACAACAATTTGTCTGGACCTCCAAACTCCCTTCCAGCTCTATTCTGATTGATTGATTGATTGATTGATTGATTGATTGATTGGATGACTTTTACTGAGACTATCTGAAAGTCACTTGGAAGTTGATGGAACCTAAAAATTAGATGAAGTAATGATCTACCTAAGAATGAAGCACAAAAGTCTCACTGTGAAAAGTGTGCTATCTAAAGTCTCACCCAGCCTCTCTCTTTTAATAAGACCAGTTGTAGGTATTTATCCATTGACCACAAAAGGTTGAAGGAGGCCTGTAACCAAATTTAGAGGAATGTGTTGAGAAGCTTCCAATAAAACTGGAATGAACAGCTAATGTACATAAATATGGACCTCTCTGTTAACATTATTACTGGAGATCAGGGGTGGTGAAAAGACTGGACAATCTCTCACTGTAGTATTTCAAGGTCCGTTTGAAACCAGTAGCTTGGACATTCTGTTCTATGTGCACAATTATGAATCTTTTCTACACAGCCAGTTGAGGGGTTTTCCCCCCTTCTCTTCCACATTTGTCAACACATTTAATCACTTTCCCAGTTGCAAAATTCATTAAAGCAGAGAACTCGTGCATCTGTTTTACATTTACCCATGATTACTTTCCCCTCTTCCAGGCACCATACCATATTTAAAAGCAGAATTTAAAAGAGCAGAAGAAACATCATGAGATAAGGTCATTGCATTATCTAAATAAATTGCATGTCCTTTCTGTGTTCAAAGGAGGAGGACAAGCCGCAAAGATTTCTTTTTTCTTTCCTTTTTTAAAATATGCTTTATGTTTATTTATTTATTATTGTAGCAAAAGCAGCCTTGACAACAAAAACCTACATTTCCGAGCCAAGGCTCATTGTGAGAAACCACAATTAATGAGTCAGGTGTTTGCATTCTAAACTGAGATCTCTGCATATTTTATCCCTAATTCCTAGTGTTAAAAACGCAGCATCTTCAAAAGGGACACGTTGAAAACAGCCAACATTCTGTTCCCATGCTGGCGAATACATTTCTATCGAGAGATAAGAATGAAATAACCTTTCCCCAACATGCCCCCCATAATTGCTGTGTGGAGTTGATTGTGATGCCTTAAACATTAGAGATAACAAAATCAGCTTCATCACTGGTATCTAAAACTGGATGAAACCTGCATTTGGATGTTGATTTGTTTGAAGACAATGTGATTGTTTCTTCAGGTGGAATCCCCAGTTCTGATCTCATATACCAGATCAAATGGCACGAGGAGAACGGATTCAGGAGTGTGACAGCTTTTTTCAATGTCTGCACATGTTGCTTCTCGAGTCAGATCAAACAATCGGAACTAGAACATACAAAACGTTTGCTAGACCAATATTCGAATACAGCTCATCTGTCTGGAATCCGCACTGTATATCGGACGTTAATACAATTGAGCGAGTCCAGAAGTATTTCACGAGAAGAATACTACACTCCTCTGCTTGCAATAGAATATTCTACATCACCAGGCTTGAAATTCTGGGCTTGGATAATCTTGAACTACGCCGCCTATGGTTGGACTTAAGCGTAGTACACAAAATTATCTGCTACAATGTTCTACCAGTCAATGACTACTTCAGCTTCAACCACAACAACACAAGAGCACACAACAGATACAAACTCAATGTAAATCGCTCCAGACTTGATTGCAGAAAGTACGACTTCAGCAACAGAGTGCCTGGAATGCATTACCTGACTCTGTTGTTTCTTTGAAGACGTTTTGCTTCTCGTCCCAGAAGCTTCTTCAGCTCTGGCAGGATGGTGGGGAATGGAAGGGTTTATAATTCTTTGCAGATACCTGGTCATTTGCATCCTTTTGGAGAGCCGTTGAGGCCACTTGGAGGTTTATCTTGTGTCTTCAGGGTCACCTGAGTAGTTCAAATGGTTCCTGTAGTCTGCAATTTTTTTCCCTCTGGAAATCCATTATTACTCCTACACCATTCCAAGGATCTTCATCCCAAACTGTTTAGCTAAAAGTCTGTAGAGATTCTCGGGCATCCAGGTCATGGTTTCCCCAAAGGTGCCTTTTTCAAGAGCCAACTGGACTTTCTTGTTTTTTCTTTGGAAGATGTTTTGCTTCTCATCCCAGAAGCTTCTTCAGCTCTGACAGGCTAGTGGGGAATGGAAGGATTTATATTCCTTGCAGACAGCTGCTCATTTGCATCCTTTCAGAAGGTCACTGAGGCCACTTGGAGTGCTCAGGGTTGCTCACAGAAGATACGGAAGTTGGAATTTAAAAGCATGAAATTAAAAAGCATACAAAAATATAACAGCATAGCATTACTTATACAAAGCTTTAAAAGGGTTTTTTTTAAAAACCCTAAAAATAATATTTCAAAAAGTCTAAACAGAGAGATGATGGGAGTGGTGGATAGACACAGGTGAAGGCATCAGGCTAAATCTATCACAATATGTAGACTCTATAATGATGAATTAGGTGCTCGTTGTGTTTGTGGCATAGGTCTTCCTCTGATGGATTTGAAGTGCAGTTGTGCAGAACCTGGAAATGCTGTATGTTGTGGCAGGGTTGGTTCCTGAGAGCAACAGCAGGGAGGTATAAAATTGTCCTGTGCTAGCTAGGTATGTAAGCAATAATATGGAGCCAGTCATAACTCAAAGGCCATAATAATGAACAATAATAACAAACCACAGTGGTTCATAGATCTCATTAAAGAACAACCAAGCAAACCAGATTATTGCTTATTAGGAGGGATAACATGAATGCGAAAATCATTGGTTCGAGATCTCAAATGTCTTCTTGAGCCTCCAAAAGTTTCTTGGCCTTGAAGCAGCCGTATTTCATGATTCCATTTTAACAGTTAAGCATCTCTCTCTCTCTCTCTCTCTCTCTCTCCCCCTCCCTCCCTCCCTCCCACCGGTGCAACAAAATGCAGACGGAGTACAAGTTATTTAATCATTGGAATTATGGCTTAATTTTAGATGGCAACAAAGAAGCTTCCTTGATATTAGGATGAGCAATAAATTATATGCATATTCATCAGGTCATCTGCTTGTTTTATAATATGGAGCAATAGATTTTTAAAATATTCTTCCCGAGAGACAGAAAAAAAGTGCTCATATCATAAATAATTATCCTAAACTGGTTACCAAGGAGGAACAGCTAGATGAAGTTGCTATGGAGATTTTTGTGTGTGTGTGTGTGTATGTGTGTGGTGTGTGTGTGTGTCTGCTCAGATACACTTGAACAACTCATATATAGCCAGCCACAGATGGACAGATTTAGCTCTGTACAAATGGGGGAAAAAAATGGGGAAATTAAGCTCATTTAACCTGAGGGAACACTTTTCTTTTTTCTTTTTTTTTTAAAAAAAGTGCAATTTCTTGGAAGCATCGAATTCGGTGGATTGTGAATGCATCTGTGGTTTCTTCAAGCATTAGGGCTTCAGATCAGGCAGATAATCTTCTCAGTGAATTGGTTTCTTAAGTCGGCCTTAAAAGATAGCATAGATAAGCAATGCATCCAATTCAAAAGGATTCACGGTGCTCTTCATTCACAAATGAGTCCTTAAGCTCTTGCTTCCCCATCAATAGTTTAAGTTTCTGATTGGAGTGTTGTTCTTACTTTTCGGATTAGGATGAATTAAGAAGCTTATTATCATGGTACTAAGTTGCCTTGTCCGGTAAGGAAATCCTATATAGCTGCCACATTGTTGTAATCGGTGGTGGGATTCACATTTTTTTTACTACCGGTTCTGTGGGCGTGGCTTGGTGGGCATAGCTTGGTGGGTGTGGCAGGGGAAGGATACTGCAAAATCCCCATTCCCTCCCCACCCCACTAACCTGCTTTCCAGCTCTGTTCTCCTGTGCAGGGCAACCAAAGAAGACCCAGCCGATCAGCTGGGACTCAATGGGAGGCAGAGAATAGGTGAGGATGGGGGCACCCAGAGGTGGTATTTGCTGGTTCTCCAAACTACTCAAAATTTCCACTACTGGTTCTCTAGAACCGGCGCAGACTGGCTGAATGCCACCTCTGGTTGTAATGCAGGGGTGTCAAACTCAAATTTCATTGAGGGATGCATCAGGGGTGTGGTGGACCTTGTGGGGGGCAGGCCTGGCCCATTGGGTGGGCATAACTGACTGGATAGGCGTGGCCAGCTGGATGCCACTCTCCAAACCGCTGCCATGTTTCCTCTTTGCATTGGGTAGACCAGGATGGCTCCATGGGCAAGATCTGACCATATTGCCTGTGGGCCTTGAGTTTGACACCCCTGTTGTAATGGATTGTGTGGAAGACTTTCTGGGATGACGGGAAGAGATGGCACCTAGAAAACCATCAGAGAAGAGAGGCAGGAACCTTCAGTTGCTTAACAGCTGGAGGAAGAAACTTAGGAAGGACCTGCCCTAATTGTCCAAAGAGTCAAAGTAGTGGTGAGAAAAGTTGCAAGGTTCTGATAACGTAGGCTTACAATTTGTTTTTTTCTTTTAACAATCCTGCAATCTCTTTGGGATGCGGTAGGGGAGACTGATTGGAGCTGAGCGTTTACTGACGGGATGCCCTTCCAGAGGCCTATGCAAAGTTCATAGCAGACAATTGCTCATTGCACCCAGAGAGAGAAATATCTGTTGCTACCTAGGATTGAACTCACAGCCTCCTGACTGTGAAGTGAGAGATCCACCTCTCGGCAAGAATGCAGAATAAACTAACCTAATTGTGTTTCCTGTCTATCTGGCAGTTCCCCAAAGAATTCTGGGAAATTTCTATTTTCTCAATCAGTCTTTGGTAGGTGCTAGTCTAACTTCCTGTTTCACTATCAGTCCTTCAATTAATTTTGCCCTCTTGATAGAAGTCTACAAATCTCAGTTATTCCAAGTATCTGCCGATAGTTCCATATTGTTCCTGAACAGCCCACATCTGGATACATAAAATCCCTCACATAAGTAGCTACTTCACTATTACATTATTAGAATGTATAATTTGTTTCAATAGAATTTTTTGGGGGGACTCATCATATTCTGACTTTCCAGAGTAGGGAAAGTTGTTTTCTTTGATTGCTCGATAATATGGAGAAACAATTGAATTTTGTCCATGTTTGCAAAATTTTGCATTGTATGAAAGATTACGAACATGACTGATATCGTCTCCTTCAGAATTGGTGTGGCACCCAAAATGCTTTCGTCTTTCTTCATTCAGAATTGCTTACTTTGGTTGATTGTAGAAATTTTCTTTGCCATCCATACAAACTTTACTTCTGAACTAACAGGGGGAAGGAAAAAAAAGACGTTGCAGTTTTGAGAAAACTAATAAACCTGTGGCAGATGTCCCCAATGAAGGAAAATGAATATTACAGTTGTGTGTTGTAGTGTAAATAAGAAGAGCTAAAGGCCTTGAAGCAGCTGTTGAGAGAAGAGAAAAAATGAATACTGCATGACTTGTGACCAGTTAACTCTTAGTTAATGCAGCTTCCACTTTGGCTGAAGGCATTAAATTATGGAAGAACTGAGTAAAAATATTAATTTAACAGAATGACAGAGTTGGAAGGGTCCTTGGAGGTCTTCTAGTCCAACCCTGTGTATAAGCAGGAGAACTTATACTATTTCAGACAAATGCTTGTCCAATCTCTTCTTAAAAACTTCCACTGCTGGAGCACCCATAATATGTCTGTGAACTTAGAAAGCAATTACTACATGAACTATTAATTACTATTAGAAGCACTAACAGTTAATAATTATTACAATTACTATTAGAAAAGTCGTGGGTGCTCCATCGTTGGAGGGATTCAAGAAGGAACTAGACAGCCATTTGTCAGGAATGATAAAGGATCTTCTACTCAAGTAGAGGGTTAGATTAGAAGACTTCCAAGGTCCCTTCCAATTCTGTTACTCTATAATCTGATCAACAACTGAGCCATTGTTATAATTTAATGAATGCCTGTTCCCTTCTAGAAATTCAGTTGCACTGATCTTCTGGAACTCATATGGAAATGTCCAGTGATAGATTGATGTTCACACCAGCTAACATGACAGAAATAGGATATCTTTAAAGTAACCATGAGTTGTGATGTCTGTTATAGTACTTTTTCTAGGGGCAACTTCTAAACTTCAAAAAGTCTGTGCACTTTCTACCAAATTCACAACTAAGGTGATGTTCAATCCAAGGAAAAATGGGTTTGCTTTGAGTTTTATCCTTTACTTTACTTTATTGTCATTGCACTTCGTACAATGAAATCAAACACCATCTTCAGTGCACATCATGACCATGACCATGAAAATAAGCACAAGCGCACATCCTTCACCCTTCACACATTGAACCGAAAACCCCAACACCACACCAACACTGCACTATACAGCAGATTTAAAAAGAGCTTCTGCCCTGGGATAGAAGCTGTTTTTCAGCCTATTTGTCCTTGTTTTTATTATTCTGTACTGTCTGCCAGATGGTAATAGTTCAAAATATATATATATATCCAGGATGAGATGGATCTTTGAGAATGTTTTGAAGGTAGCGGGAGCTATAAAGCTCTTCCAAAGAGGGGAGAGGGCAACCCATGATCTTCTGGGCAATCACATTAATTCTCTGGAGTGCTTTCCTATCTGCCCCTGTGCAATTAGCAAACCATACAGAGGTGCAGTAAGTTAAAATGCTCTCTATGGTGCAGCGGTAGAAGGTCACCAGCAGTTTTCCATTCAGTTGTTGTTTTCTAAGAAGTTTCAGGTAGTTTAATCTCTGCTGGGCTTTTTTGACCAGTGCTGCAATGTGAGCATCTCATTCCATCCACATGGAAATATGTAATTTTGGGGGAAAGGATAGTTTTTTCAAAGACTGGTCTTTTCACCCACGATGTTTCAGAATATTGGTTTCAAATCAACAAAAGATTGAAGCCTGAACGTCTACCAAACCTCACCTATTTCAATTAGGTCCTTTCAGATTCTGCATCCACCTTAATTTCTGTTCTAGAGGGATTTAAGATCTGTTTTGGAAATATATAATTTTGATCTGTAGTTTTTATGGGCTGTGCATCATCTTTTGCCAAAAAAAAACCCAACCACCCTATAAATATTCTACATTATAGTTTACCTGGCAGATGCTATTTTTCATATCTTATGAATCTCTAGCTCCATCAATATGCTGAAAGTAATGCAAAGAGAGCTTTGTGGGATTTGAGATCCTGGGGTTTGTTGGTCTTGTGAAACCAACTGCCCCTGTTTCTCTCTCAAAGTCACTTCGCTTGTCTTTCTTGCTTGTTTTGACTGCAGTGGTGACCAGCGTTTGCTTTATCCCAACAGGAGATAGTGGCACGTCCCTTGTACCAAGACTTCTTAACAACTGGTTTCCTGGAGAGCTTTTCAACCGTATGTAGAGTTATCCTTCATAATTTATTTAATCCCTTTTCAAAGGCCATGAATCATCCTGGCTTCTTAGGGCAGTTAATGCCATCAATCCATTTAATTTGGTGTGGAAAAAAATAAAATTGCTTTATTTGCACGATCTAATCTACTGCTAGGCAAATTTACAGGAAGACTCCAACTTTTACTATTTTATAAAAGGCAGGAGGAGGAAGGAAACATTCATTCATCTATATAGTTAAGATTCGGGGCCTAGGGCCTGGTTCCTCGAGGGCTTATTTATATGTTTCCACCAATTTAGTGAGGTTAGTCAGAATGGGTTTGCTTCAGGTCCCACTAATCGAAAAGCTAACTTAAGGGAAGTATAAGTTGTCCTTCTTTGTGGTAGCATCTGCCCAGTGGAATAACATTCCATTAGAGATCTATAGCAATAGCACTTAGACTTATATACAGCTTCACAGTGCTTTACAGCCCATTCCAAACAGTTTAGAGAGTCAGCCTCTTGCCCTGCAAACAATCTGGGTCTTCATTTTATCAACCTTAGAAGGATGGAAGGCTGAGTCAACCTTGAGCCTAGCGAGATTCGAACTGCCAAATTGCAGTCAGCTGGCAGTCAGCAGAAGAAGCCTGCAGTGCTGCACTCTAACCACTGCACCACACAGGCCCTAGACTGTTCTCCTCTTAACGTCTTTCTGTAAATTCTTAAAAACCAGGTTGTCTATGGAAATTCTCAGTCATCCAGGTCATGGTTTACCCAAAGGTACTTTTTCAAGAGGCAACTGGACTTTCTATTGTTTTTTTTTGTTTTTTTGAAGATGTTTTGCTTCACATCCAAGAGCTGAAGAAGCTTCTTGGAGGAGAAGCAACACATCTTCAAAGAAAAACCAGCAAGTCCATTTGTCTCTTGAAAAAGCACCTTTGGGTAAAAACCAGGTTGTTTTTCTAGACTTTGGAAGCAGATGTTCTCCAAACCCTGCAGCCTTTATGTTTTTGGTGATATGGAGTTGACCTTCTGATCAGCGATTAATGTGGGATGTTTCCTTTTAATTCTAAGAAGACCTCAGTTGTTGAAGAGTTGGGCGGCCTTAAAACTGAATTAAATCCGTATATTGACATATCAGTTATCATCTAGTTAGCTGGCTAGCTATCCACAAACTCAATTTTTATTTTTCTAAGCTTTGCCACCTTTAAGATTTTCCTGAATGGGAAGTATTGTTCAGCAATCATTTTTTTCTTTAAAAATCAGCAATGAATCCTTCTATCATCCTTACGGTTGCTGTCAGTTATAATAAATCAGACCAGTCAACTGTCCTCTTGCATTAGCCTGGTGTTCCAAATGGTGTGTAAAGAAATCCATGCTTGGCATATCTGTTCTTTATTGCTTACACCATCATTTGGCCAAAATTGGAAATTGCCTGACTAGAGCCAAAACATTACAAAGTAAAGGGAAAATAATGTATTTGATGTCTTGGTGTTCCTTTGCAAAGTTACAATGGACTCCCAAACTCCTAAAAATATCACACGCAAATGTTTTACTGATTGTCCTCATTCTTCAGATCAGGGCGCTTCAACCGTGGCCACTTTAAGATTTGTGGACTTCAACTCCCAGAATTCCTTTGCTGGATAAGGATTTCTGGGAGTTGAAGTCCTCAGATCTTAAAGTTACCAAGTTTACCGAGACCTCTGCTTCAGAACACATAAAATCTTGCTCTGCAGGATTAATGAAGGAAAGCGTCAAACTAATTTTCTTAGAAACCTTATCACAAAGTGGGAATGCGCTAGAATTTCAAGCTGGCTGGGGAATTCTGGGAGTCCATGCATTTTCAAGCTGCCATGGCTGAGAAGTACTTAGTCTATAGTTTCTAGAACTGGACATAGGATATGAAGAATTCCAGGTGCATTCTGGAGACCTTTTCCCTTTTTCTTTTGCTGGTTGAAAATCAAATTAAGGGGTCTAATTGCAGGCAAATACCTAGCATGGAGTTTTCCTTTATCATCACAATTCTATGCATGAAAAATCATTCTCAGTCATGCCAGAAATGTTGGCAGAACATTTTGTCCTTGGAAAAAAGTTGACTTTCTCGTTTATGACATACTTGTTCAGACGATGGCAGTGCTGCTCACAACGCAAGCCATCGTTACCCCTGTCTGTCTTTTGGCACAATAATGAAATAATAGAAGCTAATGAAAATATGAAAATGAGTTAAATTGATGGCTAACTTCATTGTGAAGAAGAGGTCAGACCTTGTTAACTCAGTGGCAGGTGACTGAACAAAGGGACGGAAACTATAAACCTCTGTGGAGACTCCTAGGTTTCTAGAAGGTTTTATTATTAATATTTGTGGGTCCCTTTATGTTGGATTAGTATACTGGAGAAATAATCTCTTGGGCCTTCCATTCAGGATTTCCTGGTGTGCATTTTCTGTAATTGTATCTTTGCAAATAACATTTGTGCACAAGTGCCACAAAGTCTGGGAGCTGGGCAACGGGACTTTTTTTTTTGCTTTTTGGTTTGAAAACCTTTTGCTCTTTCTTATGAAAAGATCTATGCCATGAAGCCATTTCTGGTCAACTATGTCCTTTTTCATCGATGGATTAATATGAATTATCCTGCCCATGTGCTTTGGCTTACCGTGAGTTCACGTTTCCCATCCTGAAGCTTTCCAGATACTTTTTAAACGCCTCTTTTTAGCAACCTTTAACCATACTTCTTGAAATTATGGGGAATGAAGTCTAAGATATCTAAACGAAGGAAACAGACTCTTAAAAATGCATTAGAAATCTCTCAGCAGAGATTTGTTTCGGATAACAGAATAACAAAGTTTGAAGGGACCTTGGAGGTCTTCTAGTCCAACCCCATGCTAAAGCAGGAGCATCTATACCATTTCAGACAAATGTTTGTCTGGTCTCTTCTTAAAAGCCTCCAGCAATGGGTCACCCACAAATTCTGAAGGCAAGTGGTTCCACTGGTTAATTGTTCTTGCTGTCATAGAATTTTTGCTTAGTTGTAACTTCTCTCCTTGGTGAGTTTCCATCCGTTGTTTCTTGTCCTGCCTTCAGGTGCTTTGAAGAATAGCTTGACCCCCGCTTCTTTGTGGCAGCCTCTCAAATACTGAACTACTGTTATATCTCCCCTCGTCCTTCCTTTCATTAGACTAGACAAACCCAATTCCTGCAACCATTCGTCATAGGTTTTAACTTTGAGCCATTCTTGTTGCTCTTCTCTGTACTCTTTCCAGTGTCTCAACGTCTTTTTATATTCTATATAAATTTTTAATGTTAAAATGGATGTAGCATTCCAATTGTGGTCTTACTACAGCTTTGTAAAGCAATACTAATACTTCACGTGATCTTGATTCTATCCCTCTATTAATGCAGCCTAGGGTGGCCCAGGTGCATTTTTTTTTTCATATAATTTCCTACAACAATGAGGAAGGCTTCCGTCTCTGAGACATCACCTAAGGACTTCAGTGTAGTTGAGAGATTTTTCTGCCCACCAAAATTCTTGAGAAGCTCTGTGAATTTAAATCAGATCAGCCCAAAGTTGAAAGCTTCCAAAAACAGCAGAAAAGTGTTTATTTTAAAAGGAAGATGTACATCAATGATGGCTTCTTGCTAAAAGCATATGACATCAGAGCTTTCTTTATCGATTTACTAACTTGGGAATCTGGAGCAGAAAGTCCAGAGACAGATATTCAAGTGAATATCAATGTCTGCCAGAATCATCATTCTCTCCTCTGCAGAATAAATGTTCTTTTTACCCAGAACACAGGGTGATTTCCTACCAGATAATAAAAGATGAAAATAGAAAGAGAAATATCAGAGTTTTCCTAATTCCATAGAACTCTCTTTGGTTAGCCCCCGGTTAATAATAACAAAAATGTTTTCATTAATCTTGATTTTATTCACCTTGGGTGAATTTGGAAATAAATGGGGTTTGCTCTAAAACAGAGGCAGGGGGAATAAAATGATTAGATGAAATGGTCCCAATATCTTGGATTTAACCCAGGAAACAACCCTATGGGGGAGAGGAACCCAGTGAAGAATAGACTTCCTGGTTGTCTCCACATGTTTTGGATCATTGCCTGCAAATTCCAGCAAATGTGCCCAACTCTAAGGGTTTCTGAGACTGGGAGTCTCAAATATCGGGAGGGCATCAATTTGTCTATGAAGTAGCCTGCTCAAACCCACCCACTGAACTGGAAGGTGTTGGAATTTATGGTTGGAATGTATTCCTATGCAACAATTACAGTAATATTCAGCCAGTAGATGGCAGGTTTTACAAATTTGGATCTATGGTATCTACTCTATGCTTCTTTGTTCTGAGCTTCCTGTTACAGTTAATATAGTTGAGCAGTAAAGCACATGGTGACTGTAACTTGATACTCTGTTTGCTCTGTGGTGTTTATATAAACAGCATTTCTAACAAAAGGATAAGCTGGTTTTGAAGTAAAATGCTCCTGCTTTATAGGTCCTGCTTTCTGTACAGCACCTCAACTAAAAAGACCATTTCTGCCTTTATTGTAATCCCTGCAAGGGTCCCATAAAGTCAACAGATGTCTTGGAAGAATCAGACTCTTCAAATCTGCTTTACGTTGTCAAAGTGTTTCTGTTCTGAATTATTTTGGGCATCCTACCCTAAGGAATTTTGTTCCTTTTAATGTACTACTTATTCCCTTCAAAATTCTTCAGGGGCTTTGCCTGATTCAAAATTAAGAAGCAGAGTTTGAAAGCAGAATTTTCTTCTTCTTCTGTTCAGTCATGTCTGATTCTTAGAGACTGCCTGGACAAGGCTGCCTGGACAAATCCTTGAAGGGTTTTTTGGCCAAGGTTTTTCAGAAGTTTGCTGTGGCCTCTTTTCTAGAGCAGAATAACACTACCACAGTTGGAAAGGATGTTCTAGCTCAAACCCCTGCTCAGTGAGAAACTCTTTATCATTTCAGAAAAATATCTGTCTAATCTCTTCTTAAAAACTTCCAGTGATAGAGCACCCACAACTTCTGCAGAGAACCTGTTCCACTGATTAATTCTTCTGTCAGAAAATTTCTTCTTAGTTCTAGATGGGTTCTTTCCTTGATTAGTTTCCATCCATTGCTTCTCTGCCTGCCTTCAAGTGAAGAGCTAAGAAAAAGTGACTGGTCCAAAGTCAGACAACAGGTTTTGTGCCCAAGGCATGACTAGAACTCCCAAACTCCTGGCTTCTAGTCTGATATCTTATGCTACTCTGGCTTCTGAAGAGTTCTTGGCCCAATCCTTATCTACATTATCTGCAAGCCATTTGAAGGCCACCTGGAAAGGCTTACATTCTACAGAACATCATAAGTACAGCAGCATGTTCAGGACACCTCAAAATGGACATGAGGGTGGTTATGGCAACATAGCCCATGTTCCACCTCTTTTGTGCAAGCATCAGTATTGAACACACACACACACACAAAGAAGTGGACCATTGATCATGCCACTGGGACCACAATCCTGTCTATTTTGGCCCACACAGCTCCTTTGACACTACTGTAGAACTTTCTTTCTGAAACCAACTCAACATTACTTGGGTAATGACATTAATTTTTTTTCCTGACTTTACATCTTGATGCGTTTCTCTTTCATTTCCATGTCAGTTTCTAAGTCTATAGGCAACTGGTCTTGTTACATAAACTTGTCACCTTAACATTTCCCAACATTGTGCACAAATGTTAGAAGTGGAGGAGTCGATTGTCTCATGAATATTTATTTATATGTCTGCTTGGTCTTGCCTGAATGTTTTTGTTGCAGCTGGGACCTATTTTTATGGGTAAAAGTGCTGTGCAGTAATAGCAAGAAAATGAATAATTATTTCAACAAACATTACTCACGTCCCTCAAATTCTGAATAGTTATCAAGAAGGAATGGAAATCAGTTCAATGCAATGGAGTATGTTTTTAAAGAAAACATCCTCATCAACAACAACAACAAAGAAAAAAAAACCCACCTTCTATCTACTTCCAAATATTATTCCACAAATTTACTCACCTTCTTTGTTTCTATTCATCCTATGTAATTTCTTAAACTAATCTATTCAGCCTTGGGGCTCCCAACCAATTAAAGGCCTAGGCAAGGGAATAAGACCGTCCCTCACAGCTTATGGTTCAAGGAATAGAATATGCTCAACAGTGATCAAATCAAATACATTAAAATTATTCCAAACAGATTGTTTAGAGAGAGGGAGGGGGAAGAGAGAGAGAGAGAGAAAGAGAAAGAATGAGAGAGAGAGAGAATGAGACATAGAATATGACGCACAGAGAAAACAAGAGAGAAAAAAATAATGAGAGAGAGAATGAGAAGGAGGGAAAAATGAGTGTGTGAGAGAGAGAATGTGTGAGAAAAAATGAGAGGGGGAGAGAGAGAGAACAAGAGGGAAAGAGAAAATGAGACAGAAAACGAGAGAGAGAGAAAATGAGAGAGAGAGAATGAGAGATAGAAATGAGGGAGAAGGAGAAAGAGAGAGAACTGTAACACATTAAAAGTCTTAAGAAGAGCACAGATTTCAGCAGAAAGAAAATCAATTTGAATACAGTTAATTTGAATACAGTTAATTTAATTTAAATCATGGATCCCATCTCATTAGTAGGTTGCATCCCATATTCATTTTGTCCACCCAAAGGGTTTTTTTTTTTTAATGTACAAGAAGAAAAAGCTTCATTTCAGCTGTACTGACATTTTCTGATGGGAAGGTTGTAATTCAGTTGCTAGAGGGGTTCAGGGTTGGTTTAATTACAAATTGTAATCCCCAGAGCATAGTCAGTCTCAATTTCGAAGAGTTATCCCGTTGGTTGTATATTGTTTCTTAAATGCATCCATAACTCTGAAATCCAGGCTAGTCTCAATGGAGGTCCATTTTATGGATCCACCACCTTAATTATTATCTCAATAATATTTTCTTCATGGTCTTTGGCACGCCTTGCCTTGTAGGATATTTTTTATTGTCCTTGGTGAGCAAAGGCCTCTGGGACATTTTGGGTTTTTTTAAAAAAAATGAAAACAAATGCCATTTTTAAGAAATAAAAACATCGTAAAACATAATCCCATGATCGCAATACTATACAAATGACTAAACACAAACTGATTGCTGAACAACTCACATGGGATTATGAAGTAGGCCAATGGTGGGATTCAACCAGTTCACACCAGTTCAGGACAGCCAGTTGATAACTTGCTGAGCAGTTTGGTTAACTGGTTGTTGGAAGAAATTGTTAGGACAGAGAATCGGCTGTTAAATTATTTGAATCCCACCACTGAAGTAGGCTATCGTATGATTGGAACCAGTTGTATCTTGGAGGAGTGGGTCTGTTATAAGTTTGAACTATTGCTAAGTAATCGGTCAGAAGTCAAGGACTCCCTACCTTAAGTATAGTATTTCCAGAGACTCCTGGATTCCAGCATAGATTTTCTCCATGATGATCCATCCCTAAACTGTTCGGTTTTCAATAGTCCTGACTATGAGCATCTCACATGAGAATATGAAGTAGGCTGTCGTACCATTTGGAACCAGTTTGAGAGTATCTTTCAGGGGTGGTCTGTTATAATTTTGAACTATTGCTGAGCAATCAGTCAGAAGTCAAGGACTCCCTATGTGATGACCCAAAGGGGCGTGGCACAAAGGCAACACAGACAGATAATCAGTAGGAGTCCCTTTATTAGCTCCAACTTTGCCCCCAATGTCCTAGTTACTTTCTGCCTTGAGAAAAACTCTCCCAGGAACAGCCTTTGGCTGCAGGGAATCAAGTCCAAAACATGGTCAACAAAAACTGTAACTAGAAGTCCAAACAAGGCAAAATGAGGTAATTAGTTCAACAGGGCAGGAGCAAGAATTCCAGATGTGAAGCCAGGCAATAACTCCACGTGGTTGGGAAGACACCAGGAACACAGATAACCAGTCAACACAAGATAAACTCACGTTTGTTCCCAACAGCTGCCACACGCAGCATGCATCTTTTCAAAACTCTCATTCCCAGGATTGGCTAATGAAGGGAATTGGGGCCCTTTTCTCCCCTGTAAGCCATGCAACCCACCTTGCTCTCTTTTCCGTTCCTCCCTGTGTGCCCTAGGATGAAGAGGTGATGGGCCTAGGTTTTCCTCTGAACTTCCTCTCCCTTGTTCTACCTCTTCCCTGCTCTTCCCAGACAGGCTTTACCCTTCAAACCATGGCCTAAATGAGGCCTAACTCACTTACCAACTGTCTCACTTAGTACCAGAATTTTTGAGGTCAATTCTGGTGGTAAGTCAAGGACTACCTGTATAAATGCATCCAGGTCTTCATTCTATTCTATTCTATTCTATTCTATTCTATTCTATT